CATACTTGCCTGTAATAAAACCCTCACAATTAGAACCTAGTGTACAATGCCGAATACCGGTCAATTAACCTTTAACTTGTTATTCTGTTACGATTTAAAACTTTTGAATTTCGCCATTCCTCGATCTGTTCCACACTTCAAACTTCGTTCGTTCAGAGCATAACTTCAGCTTCAGGATAAAAAGACAAATTAGACAAAAAACAGGTGAAAGTACCACCACAATGAATACGACTACGTACGACGAGTGATCTGCATTTCACAACACACAGGACAGCCGGGATTTCGCAGGACTAGTAGGAGTAATGATACAATTATATTATCGTTGCAGTACACGTAAAATTTAGTACCCTCATTCTACCGTAGGGCTCCAAGAAGACATCTTGTTATGGAAAATATTCAGAAGCACTGTTCGCAAAGTCTAAACATCATTATATTATGTCAACTACCGCGTAGTCATTTCTTTCACAACAGTATATTGTACGAAATTATCTTGTTGATGTCTTCCTGTGCCGTGTTCACAATCAGCATCTCGAACTTCTGTAACTCATGCGGTGAGTTTTGCTTATGATCGATGTTAATAAAAGATCCCCATTAATTGTCGCCCCCGGCTATTCAAGGATGGCTGATCAAAATGCTTTTCAGAAAAGAAACCACTATGCCGTAGAGAATAATGTAATCTTCTATGATCATGCTTCACATCAGTGCACGAACCAAAGGGATACCGTGGTAATATGATCTAACAAAAAAATATGAGAAAGCACAGCATACTCAGTAGAAAACCCGCAATCTGGTGATACTTTATTTACTGCACTAAAGTGTACTTATTTAAGCATAATTTGTACCATTTCTAGGGCAGTAGCCGAAAATCACTTGATATTACCATAAGGAATTATCATTGAGCGCGGCACAGATAGGTAACTCTAAAACAACCACGACAACAAAATAAAACTGTCGCCATTTAAGCGATCTGCAATTCTGCATCATACGACACGTTAAAATTCATTGCACACCATCAAGTAGTAGCATATTTACAATCGCTAAAAACTGCAAGAACAAGTCACAGCCAAAACCGGACTGTCCAAGGTGAGTTTATCTCAATACTCTGTAACTAGCCAAAGAACGATCCGTGATGTTAACAAATGGTACGCACTTATTAACTGAGCAATCAGTAACATTTCAAGAGAAACGAACACCGGCGGTACAGCATATCTTACACCTTGCTTATACGATCACTTCTGAACCTAAACAGCAGCTTGTTCGCATGATCGCAAAATACAGAATACGAAAGCCGCTTCACCATAAGTACTTTTTTTAGATTGCATACTAAAAAGTACGCAAAAAAGCTCTTACATTGCACACGTAGAAAAGTTCAAGATAGCTCCGTAAGCGGCATTCTAATGGAAACATCTTTAAGACCAGAGATTTATCGTTTTCTTTACGTATTAATCTTAGCATTCCTTGATACCTTTCCGACGCTACGTAATATTATTTAGAAATCACATATGAAAATCCATATAAATAATTTGCCAGGCGAATTGCAGCGGTTTGCAGCAGCGCCACGGTAGCGTCAAACAGCAATATGAGCCTATGGCTAAATGAAATAGTGCACAACTTACATGGGAAATCCGCAGCGCGGACACAAGGGACAGCAAACGGTGAGAGCTGGTTCGCAGCTTAACACTCGTACTTCATAGTTCTTAGTCAGCACAAACAAAGCCTACTCGGGGTAGTAGTCGGCAGACATTCACCAGTAAATAAACGGTGCCATGCCTTGCTAGTTATCAAGACAGTGTTTATTAATGCTTCAGCGACTTTCTCAAGAGAACAGAAACCTCTTACCAATCACGGATTTACGTAATTGTTTGCAATAAATTATTCAAAATGGAGTGATGTTAACTGAACACAATATATCTGCAGATTATTTCCAACTACCGATAATTAACGCGTCTCATGCGCTGAAAACATCGCAATCTGGAAGCATCGGTGAGCCGTCTGGACCTAACTTCGCACGTCGACAATCAATCGGTTCTATTAAAAGTCAAACCCACTCGCGAAAGCCGATGAAAGCTTAAAAAACTGAACCAAACATTTTTCTACAATATAAAAGCTATCTAAAGGAAGCCACCATTCCTAATAATTATAATCAAGGACCATTAATTAGGCCACTTAAAAAAACAAAACGCACTGCACTGTGGGTCTATAGCTTCACTGAACATACAAACTGTAACAAACAATTAAACACATAACACTGGCTCCTCCGTATTTTAACAAAGATTTACCTGTTGTCCCACGGTTTCACCGAATAAATTTCCAGATCACAGTCCTTGCTGCCACGTGAGAATCGTTCCAGGAAGGTACAGAGAAGAAAGCATCCTATTCCTCACAACTTCGGTAAACCGACTGAGCTGCGACTCCGTCAGAGTCCGACGCAAAACCAAACTTCCAGTTCTTCCGCGTGTTCGACTGTCAAATGGACCTGCAAAACAAATATCAGCAGTTTTATCCTGGTTCAAAATTCCCGTTTTTGTCTAAGTTGAAGAGAACTAGATTCACTGATCACTATATGAACTTTAGTGCAGGCCTGCAAGAGACATCGAAAGCACAAAATTAATTATAGCTCTGCAGATCTCTGAACTCGTACAATAGTTCAACAACCGAACTGCAGCACAGTCATGCTCATGCCGTTCGTACTTCCGCTCCGGTGGCGTGTTTGCGCTACATTGAAGTCTGCAAACCTGGTTTTGACTGCCGACCTGAGAGCGGGTAACGTCGCGGGAGCCGCAAAAAGATTTTTTTCGGCCGCCGAAGTTCGGCGGCGCTTTCTTCGGCGAGGCGAAGCATTTTGATTTTGGTTCAATAATGACTTCGATCATAATAATGCCATGTTGGACTGTTTATTTCACTTTAAATGTTCGTATTTCATTCTGAGTCCTGAATACCCACAGAAAAATAATTTTGACTTACAAATTTAGTGGCCTGAAAGTTTAAGTAAGTACTTGCAGTAACTTGTAGGGCAGTAACTTCGTTCGGCATTATCCTAACTCGTAACATTATTTTACAATACAGTCTGTACTACTACAACAATACTGCCGGAAATATTAATCTTCGTAGTAGAAAAATGGTGCTTACTTGCATCTTGAAATCACTCGAAGTTATGTTTACCAGTTAGAATTAACATTTAAAGCACGTACATATACATTTTCATTAATTTTTATTGTAATGCTACATATAACATGGTATAAACAGTGATCTTCGATTGTGCGAAATGATATACGACAACAGTTTTCCGGCAAAACCCCGAATCCCAAGATTGAGATCCAGCAACAAACTAATTACGTATAATTATCTCATTTCTGTGCTGTACTGATACTTACAGTAAGTATATAAATATGCGATGGACTGATTGTTAACACCCCTCTTCCTGCAAACTTTCGGTTTTAATTCCGGCAGTACAAGAAGCTCTTGATAAAGAGTACATACCGTACATACTATACTATATATCTGTACATACTGCGTAAGTGAGCAGTGAGCACTGGGTACTGAATACACCCATGTCAGACCTAGATACTGTAGAACCAAAATTAATATTAATAATAAAACTTCGTAATGTGGTTTTAGTTTTACTGGTTACAGTACGCATAATGCAACACGTACAGTAGTAGAATAGTATGGTGAATTGAACGCACATTACTTAAAATATATACTTATTATGTATACGGAGTGATCGAAAATTAAGAAGAAAAAGAGCAGTACCTCTATGGAATTTTATTGGGTTATTCAAAGGATATTGTTAAACGCAAAATTGCGCAGTACAATAAATTTGAGCACATAATACACTTCATCCAGCCCGGACCAACCGTAGTAACGAGTAGTAAAGAGCAGTAATTCATATTACACTAACTACTATAGATACTTATGATACTTATTAAAGGTAAATTAATTAAAAAAAAACTACTATAGATATAAAGAATCTCTAACTTACAATTAGCGTAGCAAACAGAGTAAGAGACTGATTGCTGCTGAAGAATGCTGACTTGGAACGTAACCTGCGTCTGGTGGCCTTATCGCATATAGCGGCAACACCCGTGCGAGCTGGAGCAGCGGCAGCAAAAGCTGAACAGGATAAGGTAACCAAGTACCAGAACATCACCCATGACTACTTGTTCAGCGCTTTGGGCTTCGAGACGCTAGGACCCAACGGACCGGAAGCTACCCGCCTGCTCACGGAAGTGGGTAGGAGGGTACGGCAAGAAACCGGCGAGGCATGAGTATCTACGCCAGCGGATCAGCATAGAAATCCAGCGCGGGAACGCCGCCTCCGTTCAGGGAACAGCTCCGCCGGGAGCGAATTTAGATCAGTTGTTCTTTGTTCTTAGACCTCCCGAGGCTGTTTTGTGCTGATTGAGTGTACTTCGTTGTGATTTCATTTGTTTTTCTATAAGCGGAATGGGTATAATAAAAACTCCATTAAAAAAAAACACAGAGTTTTCTGGTTATTTCGGTTTATTTGGTGGTTGGTTGATTTTGTTCTATACCGATTTCATAGCTATAGAGTAGAGCGGACAATCACGCCATAGGTTTGTTATTTTAATACTTAAAATTAATAACTGCAAGCAGGTACATACAATTATTATAAGTAGGCAGAGCAGGCAATTTGGTTGGTACGGTGACTACGGTCAGTCGGTATGTGATTTCAAAAAGTACGTACATAGAATTACACTTGGATAACATGTACTTAACTGTCTGGATTCCAAAAAGTGTTCAGGTAATTATTTGTGTAAGTCACTTCGTCTACTGTACTTATGTTCACGCCGCTCATATTCTCAAATGTTCTTGCCTAAAAGAAATTCAACTGTTTTAAAAAAAAGACCAAATTCGCAAGGAAAAGAGTTTTGCATTCACGACTGTACTTATAAGTTAAAATAATAATATATATGAACTCAGTTATGAAGCTCTGGCTTATTTTTCCGTACGTACTTCTATTTCATAAAAGTAGTAAATAATATTTCTCGACCGCTTTGATCAGAATGACGCATGACGCAAATTATTGAGAAATAAAATAAAAATCTAATACCAAGCTGCATCAAACATAATGGAAAATGATCTGGTAAACTTTGTAAAATTGTAAAACCACATTCAGAAAACTTCGCCAGTTTAGTTCGTCATGGGCGCAATTAGCTCAGCGCCGCTTAAATACAAGAGCAGTAACAGTCCGCCCACTTTTCCCTCCAAACTGAAACTGGGGTGCCGGTAATTCGTCCACCACTTCGAAATCTGTAACAAAGTTTGAGTCATTAATAAGCCTTCTCATACAGTCTGTTTTACACAGTAAGATAAAAACTAATAAAAACAAAGAAGAATGTTATACGAGTGTACATACATCATTGTCGAACATCGTAAACATGATCGACGCACAGGAGAGTTCTTTACTAACTTCTTTTGTTATCATCGAGCATCTTAACGAAGCATAAAATGATTAAGATTTCATTCGCACATCCATCAGTAAACCGACTGTAATGCAAAAGTATGACTATTGGGAAACTGCGAATGAAAGTAAGCCGCACTTTCTATATTTTTTGCAATTTGCATCGTTCCTGTCGTCCGATCACCACAGAGCGTGCGTCCCTGCGCCGTGTGGCACTAGCTCCAGCAGTCCAGACGCTTTTAACCGAAAGCTCGTTCTATGACCTCAGTTACGCATATGTTTCTGTTGTTACAAACCGATCGATGTTATGCAACAATTATATAAATTACCAGATCTGCGCACGAACGCTTGCGGTAAACCGCGAACAACTCACATTCTGTTAGATTAACACCAGTGTGCTTAACTGATTTATGCACAAGTTAATCAACTAATAACTACCTAGTCTCAAACACATTCTGTAATGTGAGAACTGCTCTAGGGGAGATAAGCCGTTTGTGACGATATCAGGACTTCCCTTGACGATATACTTACTAAGCGAAAATTATTACCACGCACAGTAACTACTTATAATATTCGCATCGTAGTATAATGGCATGCGATCGAGTTGTACAGCGAGCTACAGAGCGCTTGCTGAAATTCTGAATGGTTCAAGTTTTTCGGATTCCCGTTTAAAGGCTCCAAGAAATTATAGGAGCGGGGTGAGTTGTTGAAGCATTACTGTATCGTTACAGGGTACCCGCACAATTACCTGTGAACTGCGACACCATCTCGTCTTTCGTCCAGTTACAGGATGTGATTACGAGCACACCGTTCTCGTTGAGGATTTTGTGTAAATTTTTGGCATAAAGAGCTCTCTTTTCTCTGGAATTAAGGGGATTCAGGCAAATCGCGTCATATGTTCCTTTATCTATACACAGATCAAAACTTCGCGCAAACAGCTGGGGATGCTCTTCGCGGCAGTCTTCGGGTACGGTGATGTCCGCAACGGAATACTGTATAGTGTTGGCATTTTTGTCCCTCGCGACCGTCGTAGCGAGGGATACCGCGGCTTGGCTGTAGTCGATCCCGGTTAAGTTAGTGAAACCGTTCTTGTGTAAGGCAAGCAACAAGGATCCATTTCCACAACCAATGTCAATGACGGAAGTCGTTTTAGGATATCCCTTTCTTGTAATCCAGTTAACAATTCTGCGCTCACTTTCGAAACCAAACCTGCATAATTTAAGCACAACACAAGGTTATGAGTTTAGGCCTTTAAGGAATATGTTGCAAATTCTTCCTCAACCGCTAAACTGAAGTTTAGCAAAGCAACACAGTTTAATGCAAAGTAAGTACCAAACTACCAATGTTTTGTCGTAACTTGCATACGTACAGTACTTATGGTTAGTAGTAAACACAGAACAGTTGTTTTCTACTGAACAGTTGTTTATTTTTAATAAGAAACTTACCATATTTCTCCAACATCGATTCCGTTTGTGTCTTCATAGTTTTGCAGGTCGGTTAGGTACGTTTCCTCCCAACTAAAACCAAAACAAATTTAACTGTGCAGCCTGTACTTATCGATAGTACTTGTACTAGCCATAAGTTACTAACTAATCAACAATAGCAGCTATTAGATGAATTTAGATCCCAATAAATTTATGAACGGTTAATTAGAAAATTATCATTCGTGTGCTCGGGACACTACTCTAGCAATCAAACAGCAAACATCACAAATCAAAACGTCAGCTTGTAAGAAATGCCAATTACTGTACACATTTACGATGACGCGTGACTAGCGTCGTAAAAAACGCAAACATACTTTAGGTTTCGAAAGCAGCGGGATTTACGTAACACTGATTAGTGAATACAAACGAACAAAGTCTTACGAACCAAGCATTTCTTTGTTATAAGTAAAATATTTTAGAAAAGTATCGTACAGTCCACACTGATCATTAATTTACGTAACCTGTGCGTCTATTGTGCGGCAAAAATTATGTAAGGAATTCTATTTATTATTTGTAGAGCATCGCACGCCGCACTGTAATCGATATTGAGCAATTCACCCAGAGTTCCTATTACGTAACACATTTCGCAAGATTATGACTGTGAGTCGGTTAGACGCTTACTATTCTCGGGTTCCCAGATTCGAGGGATTCAAATCCGTGTCCATGTTGACGCTGGAGGAGGTTGTTGTGGTTTCTTGCAGAATTTTCAAAACGGCAGCTTTTAACAATCTCTCGAAGTCGTATTCTTGTGGGTGCGAATTCATGATTAGGGCCGATTTCGGTACAGGTCGGAAGATGGCAGCACCGCTAAGAGATGAAAATTCAAGATTACTTTCGTCGTTCTTCCAGTATACAGTAAAGCCATGGATCCAACATCGGTAATGAAGATAATATCTTATGTAAATAAAAAGAACTTGAGTAATTATAATTAAATAAAGGACCAAACTAATGCGCCCAGTATAAATAACTGAAGTTACATATATATAACCTGTTTACTAGTTAATAGTTATCAACAAAAGGCTAAGAATCCAATTCAAACGGAACCCAGCCTATCTATACAGGTGGTGAATTATGTAATTCTGACAGTATGACACTTTGACCTCACATTTCTGGCGTAAAAGCGTTTAATGCACGGTACTCTTTTTACTGCAGGTACTGAGTTATGCGGGATGAACGGCACTAAAATAAGCGCGCGCTCACCCATAGCAGGTGGCCCCGTGCAATTAGACTACAGATATACTAATTATTATGTAAGCCATACTGACTTAATATTGATGTAGGAAGGAGTGCGGATACTTACCATTACATTTTTAAAAAAGGAAATCCTCTTGAACGTCCTTTAACTTTAAAACAGATACGACGATTATATGCCCAAATCATCTGTAAATGGTGCAATAAATCTTGAATTGTCCGAAACACGTGCTGGTTCAGATCCGACTCGAAGTACACCGTACGAAGCCGGCAGCTTGAGCTAGAGGAGGATTCTTGGTGACCGGTAGTAAGCGTCCTTTGGCAAAGGTCACGAATGGTCGAATCCTGGCCAGAGTGGTCGAATTCTGGATTCGAAGGGATTTTCAGGTTTCTATGCTAGCCGGTGCTGGGAATTTTTGAGGATGATCTATGAGTTTGCAAGAAACAGCGGTGCAGCTGTGGTAATCTCGAGCTGTGAATACGGTCGAATGATGGGAACGGCATGGTAGCACTGATCTGCAGCATAGCATATTCCAACGTGCCAACTACCGGTATCGTGTGATTCGTAGATGCTACCAGCGATCGTTTGCGGCTCGATGCTCGTTGATCCCGCGTCTCGGTCTGAGCGACTGTTCTTGAAAGTAGCATCGAATATGTGCGAACCGTTTTGTAATAATGTCAGCTTTCGCTATAATCGCGTAATTCTTTTTACAAGCAACCGTTGCTGATCAGCCGAACGGCATTACGTATCCCAAGTGCGTACTACGTACTTACATTAATAGTAGTTATGTTGCTGCAAAGAACTTATGGCGACGAGAGTGAACGAACACAATTCTTTCGTCCTTACAAATGTGCCAAACTGTAACCTGGGTTTCTAAAAAATTCTGCGACTTCCATGGAGCGCGTAAGCATGGGCGTGCGTACCACATCAACATGCACGTTTCCGGACCGGTTGAGGCCGAACTACGGTAGCACTTATATAATTATACGTAGCCACATACTAATCGTAAATTACCGCCAACCACAGTACTAGCAGAGCTAACCATAAGGTATAGTTACCCAAAAGTTTGAAGATTAAAGAATGATTCGAGTGGTATTACTTGTCTGCAAAGTCTTTTTCGTTATAAAAAAACAATCGCTGGACCAAAAAAGGTAGCTCACAAAGACAAAGTAAGGTGTCAAAGTTACAAATAGTAAGGTGATAAAGTTACACTTAGTAACTTTCTTCTACTCGTATATACAGTACAATACTGTAAGTACAGTAAAGTACGTACATGCAAATTGCAGATCTGTTCGCAGAGAGTACAAACTTGAAACTATACAATTAAAAGAATGAAACTATACGCCTAGAAACTATACGCTTAAACTATACGAAACTATGCGCTTCAGGTAGAAGAAGGAAACTTGAAACTATGCTCCACAGGATACCACCAGCCCCAGGTGTTAATCAAATTCTAAGATAGAACTTACAGTTGTTAAATTAACTTCATAAGGGTTGCGCAACCATATATTCATTCCTGTCTAGCGACTTGCGGCAAATTTGTTATGGTTTCACATGTACTTGCTAGTTCCTAATAACTTCCTATTGCATTTGCAGTAGTACTAGTACCAATTTAACAAAATAGCTTAACACACTAATAATTTTAAAAACTGCACTTTCTTGACATCATACTGCTCTAATAACAAAATTTTCTGTTCATATAGATAATACATACAATACATAAAGGTTTAGCGCGCGGTTGATGTTGATTAGTGTTGAGTGCGGCACAAGTTGCTCCGCACAGCTGAATGAGTTCAAAAATAAATTGCTCAATCTTGTTAAAAATACTGAAAATAGTAACTAATCAATTGTAAAACAAATCAGTTGTAATAGATGTTTAAAACATTGTAAATGATAATAGTTCTGTTTTGTTTGCTTGCTCATACTCATCCAAAAGCCTCAAAAAGTATTCACTAAATAGGGGCGCACTGTTTTTACTTTTAGTGCACCAACGGGGCTAATTACAAATTTACAATGATTGATGCCGAAAAAAAGTTCAAATTTATTTTTAGAGCTGGACACTGGACAGTGCAGTTTCCGTACTCAAACCGTAGCATGCGCATTACCCTCGTCAGAAATATCATATAGTTTAATAACATTTTGAATTAGCCTTAGATATTACAGATTGCCTCCTTTTTTTATATAAAACTTACGAATATGAAACATTTGAATATGGATATCAGATACCATTTTGTATTTATTTCGGCATGTTTCACATAACTAGTTTTACACAAAAACTAACATCGAGACATACTTTTTCATGAAAACACAACATAATTATGTAAAAAAAATCGAATTGGATAATGCTAGAAGCATAAACGGAAAACTGACAAGAGCGATAGAAATTGCAGAAGAGCCAGCATGGACAGCATTAGCGACTACTAAATGCATAACAAGTTAATCATCATACGATGGCAAGGACAATCATGGACGTCGACATCCACACTTCCGGTGAATTCGCGTCTTGCAAGGGATCTGGAGAGCAATACTTCATCTGCCCTGCAAAACATATAAATTGTGAACCATCAGCATGGTTATTTTACTTACAATATGATATTTTCAGATGCACAACAATTGCACTCAAATTAGTCTACTTTACTTGAACGCAATAGATGCTGCATTCAGATCTACTGCATTCAAGGACGGTCATTTGTTATAGAAAAGCGCTGCAAGTTAGGACTTTTAATGCACCAGCAGCAAATTGCTGTGCATGTCGACATGCAGTTTTCAAACAAAAATCTTAAATTAAAATCTGTGTTTTCGTTAACGGAGCATTTGGCTAATGAATAAAGCGAATGGAAAAATCGACACTTTGACATAAACATTTTGTATTGTTTTACAGACCAACTGCAATGGTCAGGACAGTGCAGCAACAACGCATTAAATTCATTTATTATTTTTTAAAATTTATTATTTGACAAACATTCAGAAAAACGGCAAAAAACAAGTTAGGAGACCTCATATACGCACCACCAATTACGCACTGACTGCCGCTTTAGAAACAGGCATGTCGACATGCAAATAAGCGATAAGAAAGACATATGCATGTCCACAAACAAATAAACAATAAAAAAACATATCAACTCAAATTTTGGTACGTTAAACTTGTCCCTGCTGCATTTTGAAATACCTAAAAAACGTCCTTAGCAAAAAAATCTAGTTTCTGCTCGCTTCCTATGTTTAAGGTATTAAAGGACTAATATTCCCTTGAATCGAAATTCGTTGTATAGTTTGGTAGCTGGAAAATAGCGCTGCTTCACATGCATTACCTGTTGGCACCTTGCATGTCCTCATGATCATGATCATGCATTTGTCCATCTAAGCAGAGCCTCAAGGATCTGGAAATAAAACGCACACAATAATTTGACACGTGCTATCTTTATGACTTTTAAATTGGAAATTTTTCGATTATCTCTTACCTAGAACTGGTCCAAAATTGCTGTGGGTCCTCGCAGCATTGCAGACTGTGTCGAATGTTGCACTTTATCCATTAGCATGCCGTGCGTGACATTGCCATAAACCACTGTCGCATAAATATGAACACTAGCAGTGTTTTTTTTAAATGTTTTAAAAATAAAAAAACTTGGCTGTCGACAGCCATAAAACAAAACGTCAATGATTCAAACAAAATACCAGAAACCATTTCAAAAGCACAGATAAAAAGTCGAGAATTGCCATTACCAAACTGGCTGTCAAAATCAGCTTGGGCGCAACGGCTCTGAACGTGAACTTGCGGTGAACACTGGAAACTGCCATGCAGCCAATTAAACACCATGAAAGTAGTCTACAGTGAGCGTAGTCGGCAGCAAAAATGCAGCCACCACGTGGGCAGTGTCAGGTATTTTTTGTCGTTAACGTTTTGCCTCCAACCAGGTAAACTGGAGCAGTTTGTTTTTTTGTTTCGAAGGACTTTTGCTTCTTTTGCGATTTTTGGCACGAGGATAATTCTTGTCGGTCGACCGATCATGTGCCGCACAGGAACTATGTCTTTGATAACTGATTACTTAACAGGTTCTGCAAAGCTTTGATGCTCTATAGCGGCGACACATGGATCAAAATCGCTTTTTTAGGTTATGTGGCGAGGCAGGGCGATCAATGTCGGTCGACCGACAAAGCTTTCTCTTTAGCTGCAATATCCTAAATTGTTATTTGCAATGAACCAGAACCGCGACGGTGTCGGGACTGTTGGCAATTAACATGGGCGGTCGTAGTGCTGATCTTGGAATCTGGCTGGTTTATTTTTTTTATTTTTCTGGAATTGTTTCTTGCTAAGCGAGATACTGTTTACTTACATGACGGTCGACCGACAAAGCTTTTGTTCTTTTGTTCTTCTTGTATTGCGTTTGCTTCTGTTTAACGTTTTGGCTAAACAGTTGCGAACGCGGGTGAGTTTGGAATAAATTTTGTAACTTCGATACGTTTTCGTATTGATATAAATTATTACATAAGATCTGCTGCCAAAATCATGCCGTCGGCACATTTTATGATAAACGGCTTAACATTTGAGGTATGTTGATACAGTTTAGAACAAACTTTTGACGAAATTTGCCGTAAGCAAAGCCGGGAGAAATGCTAGTAAGATAATCCTCTGGTTGATTCGCATTACTTTCGACGATCATATACATTAATATGTAATGGACAATAATAATTGTGTTAGTGTATGACTAGACTGTTATTAAATAATTATACACTTTGTTAATTCTTGCAATTTTTTTCAAAAAAGAACCAAAAACAGATCATCAAATTAACGCAGAAAATAGATAGCTAATTTAACACAACAAATTCGCGGAAAATGACAGCTTAATTAAGCCTTAAGGTCTTACCAAATTTTCTTCAATTTCAATCAGTGATCACTACGAGTACTAGTGAAGTATGAGTAATGATTTAATTAATAAACATGTTCAACTTTTGAAATAAATTTCTGGATTCAACTGAAGACTCTTCAAAATGTTATCTGGTAAGAGACAAGAACAAAAATATTACGTAGGTTTATATTTTTTTATTTTCTACGAGGTGTGTTTTTGTATTAAGTTTAAAGTTTGTGTCATATTACAATGTCATTATATATTAATTACAGTTCTAATATCGTCAAGAGTAAATACGCCACGAAGAGCGTACGTAACACTTTCCAATTCCACAATCCCAATACATTTCCCAGTGGTATTGGCGCTCGCGCTCGTGCAATAATGTATTAACAACCACCGCTAGTATTCTATAAAGGTTACTAATCTCCGGTTTCGCGCAGCTACGTATAACTTCGTATTATTATGGCTACTGTGAGCGCATGTGCTGCCGTCTGGCGTCACGAGGGTGCTTTACGTACTGTACGTTCGGCTTCTCAGAACATGCAGTTGATTCAACTGACTGGCATGCAAAGTGCAAACTGCAAACCTGGTGTGCAGTGATCATTTTCAATTTTTTGCAGAACACGTTATGTACTCATCTTTCTGATCTGTAGTACGTTCCACGGTGATAGTTTTTGCGTTTCCTGTTCTGGAGTCAGAAAACATCATTTTATTATTGGATTTGAACTGGAGATTTTGTTCTATTTATCGGAATATCTCCGGAATGGCTTCGAGAAAGAAAGTCCTCCTTAAGGTCATTATTCTCGGAGATAGTGGGTACGTCTTACGCTGTTAATTACTGCACACTCCAAAATATTTCACTCAGTTATTAATTGAATTTCTTAGTGTCGGGAAGACTTCTTTGATGAATCAGTATGTCAATAAAAAGTTCAGCAACCAGTACAAGGCAACTATCGGAGCGGACTTTTTGACCAAGGAAGTGGCTGTGGATGATCGTCTTGTGACGATGCAGGTAGGAAGATGAATGGCTTTGCGTAATTTAACTTTGTTACACAATTGACAGTTACACTCTATATTCTCTGTAATTTTTGACTTCGTATTTTGTTATAAATATAACTTGATGTCAACTGATAATAATTTCCACCTGCCTTAAGATCACAGTGTTGATGGTGCAAGTTATCAAAGGGTTTGGTTTTCTTTTACCGTTTTCGTATAGACATTTGCCGATTTGCGAATTCAAAAATTCATGATTTGTCACTTTGTGGGATTGTGATAACGAAATGAACATCTTCTTGCTTCGCTTAAATAACTGTAATACACTGTAACAGGTGTAATTAATAATTAGCGATTGTGACGGCAGGGTTGTTCGCATTTTTGCTGTTTGGACATTTAAGTGTTTTGAAGATGGTTTCAAACTTTACCTTCGTGTTTTGCCTTGGGTGTCTAGATCTGGGATACGGCTGGCCAGGAGAGATTCCAGAGTTTGGGGGTGGCGTTTTACCGGGGAGCCGATTGCTGTGTGTTGGTTTTTGACGTGAACAATGCACAGAGCTTTAAATCGCTGGATAGTTGGAGAGACGAGTTCTTGATTCAAGCCAGCCCACGTGACCCGGAGAATTTCCCTTTTGTGGTGTTGGGGAACAAGATTGATTTGGATACTCGTGCTGTAAGTTATAGCGGCTGTGATATAACCGTACTATGCAGTTCGTGGAGGCATTTGAGGCGCATGTGTGGCATTATGCTTTGCTTCGTTTATCTGATGCTAAACAGGAATGAAAATTCGTTGGTTTTTTCCATTACTGCTGAATCCGGGAAACGGAATGTGGCCGTTCGTCTGGCTTCGTCCCTTTCGTTCGTGAATCGCCGTTACCACTTGCTAGCATTTAGTACATCATAATTGTGGTCATAAGAACAATAGTTATTAGTTTTCAACTTTTCATGAACATACCACAAGTACTGGTTTACTCTTCCCTTCTTCGTTTGTCATGACTCGATTTTATTCGATATTGTTATATTCAGCGCATGAAAATTACGACTACTTACTTTCATACCATAGCTTGGTTCGGTTCATTTTTTAATTGGCATCGTTGTCCGGCAGTTTTAATCAGTGGCAGCAGAACTGTTGTGTGATTGCTGGCTTGCTGTACAGTGCTTAACTAAATTTTAATTTTCTTACTCACACTTCAAGTTAGTTTTACGAATTAAGCGAATAAATTTTAGATAGGGACTTCTGACATACATAAAAAGAACTTTACTCACAAATTTGCACACAAGCGCATTTTTTAAGCTGATCAGTTAGTTTTCTGGGAACATGAAACATTTATCATTGGGTGACAATGGGTCTTTCTGGTATGCTTTGGTGTATTAATTGAAAATATACTACACATACAGAATTTACCAGAATGTTGTAGAGTGTAGACTGCTGCTGCTGCTTGAATTTTTGGTGAAACAGTCACCGTACGTGTCCGCCTGCGGTGCTGACACGCTAAAGTTAAACCCACGCCTGTTTCCTTTGATCACTGATCAGTTTCCTGTCCTTCTAGGTTACGACGGCGAGAGCCCAGAGCTGGTGCCAGAGCAAGGGAAATATTCCGTATTTTGAAACCAGCGCCAAGGAGAACATCAACGTGGAGCAGGCCTTCCAGACAATTGCCAGGAATGCTCTGGCTCAAGAAAGTGAAGCCGACCTGTACCCTGAATTTCCCGACCAGATCAAAATTACTCCGGACCATAAGAACAAATCGGACGGTTGCGGTTGCTAATTCCATGGCGTAACTTGTTCGTCCTCGGTTCTGACTGCAGTTGATTCGATTTCGTATTTGTCATCTACAAATGATTATTTGAAAAACTGTTAGGCTTGTAACTGCTTAAAAATTATCCCATGTTCTTCTGTGTGATACGATGAAATAGGGAGAACGTGAAATTGTAATTCTCTTGTGACGATTTGCTTATTTCTTTCCTAATCTTACCATTGCATAGCTCGAAATTAAACCAGCGTTTTTTTCTTCACGATGACAAAAACCGAAATAAAGATTTCTTTCTGTTTAACTTTCGTCGTGTCCTTCTAAGAAACACCAAGCAAACCATTTACAATCTTATAACCATATAACTTAGGTAACCAACAGAAAATGAAATACAACAAAGAATAATAAACTTCTTGTTAATATCACAGTTCTTCTTTCACATATTTAGGCTTTAGCTCATTAATTTTCTTTATAAATTCAGACTTTTCTGTGCATCCTTTACAGTCTTCGCTCCAGTCGCCCAGAATCTTCTTCAAATCTTTGACTTTCAGTTTGTTGAGATCCAACGTTTTCCAGTCCAGCTGCTTTTCTGGGAAACGAGAAGTTCATTATTAAGCAACCCTCGAGCAATATCAACAGCATTCTGCCCTTAGCCGTTTCTGCGCGCTCCTCGCCGATTTAAAAAAGTGAAAACACAAACCAAAAATGTCTGAACATATAAAACATGTAAGTAAATTAGATTGCAAAACCTTTCAGTGCGTAGTACATTGTACTAAACAGCTTCACGCTCCCGCGATCAACTCGCAAAACTAAACAGCGTCAAGTTGCCGACAACACCGTCCTCGATACCCTACACTTACAGTGACTACAGTCACCCGTCACTACACACTGCATACTTCTACAGATTATTGCCAACTATAGTATGAATAATTACGGGTGTACTCGTCGTCATTGCAACGAGTCAGCGACAAAATAATATTAAAGAACTATGCGGCAAAACGTTTCTTAACTCACCATATTTCAAATCGCAAATTTGAGAATCTTTCTTTCGAAGTTTTTCGCAGACTTTTTCCACCGGCATTCCCCAAGACATGGGTTTAGAAAGTTCACCCAGGATAGATGTGGCACTCTCTTCCAGTCCTCCAACGTAATAACACTGCAATATCACGCCGTTTAAACGAGCAACACCAGAATTCAGAAGAAGGACCGTAACGTACAAAACGGTGCTCTTGTGGCTGTTTATTCTCCTTGCAGTCCAATTTGAATTTCTTTTCGACTTTTGCTGCGTTCGACTGGTCCTCGCCGGGAAGACTTTCGCGCAAAGTTTTCAAGACGCTGACGCATACTGCAAATTTATAAGCATCGAGTACGTAACGACCAGATATATAAAATAAATTAAAAAAACCTTCATTTTAACAACAGCATGCATACTGCAATTCGTTTCTAGAACACTCATAAATTATAGGCTTTTAAATTCTGCCAACGATGCATCATAAAATATAATAAGATTATTACTGATTATAACTTATAAGAGTCAACAGTGAGCACTCAATACTCATCACCAGGTGCTGGTTACTGGCAGAGTGGCAGTCTAGCATACATAGCACACATACCTTCGCATTCTGCGTCTTTTCCGCGAACCTCGTGGAGTAAAGCAAGAAGATGCAAACACACAACAAAAATCCAAAACCGACTGCAACGTGAGTGGGAAGGAAAGCAGTAAAGATCCATTGTGTTTCGCTTTCGAAACCGACAAATCAACTCCAGGTAGGCAGACTTCGTAGATGTTTGTCGCTTCGTTTCGAATAATAAAAGCAGTGAGGAGTGATTAGTCGATTGCGCTCCTTTCGTAAATTCGTAGTTAATAATATTAATCTCCCGGCAAAAGCCTAAAACAGCAAAAAAAAATTTTTATAGAAAATTCTAATGTAGTAACTCACGGTAACTGTCGTCTGCGCATTTGCTAAAAGGTGGAACAAAAGTCCACTCACAATCGGTCCCTACAGAATGATAATTGTACGAATTACAGTGTACTTACGGTACGAAACGTTTCCAAAAAGAATACGGATGAATGACTGAAATTGCAAATACAGACTTATTACAGGAACAGTCAGGAAATAATTGTACTCGTACCGCTCTTATTAATTTTTTCAGACCGTAAAAAACAGAGCTGCCAATAATGAGCATTGAGCATCCAGAATTCTGAATCTCTGATGTTCCGCTGCCGCCCCGCCCATCTTGCATGTGTGGCTCCCCAATTGGCTGGTCACAGCTCGCAGTACGACCTACGAGTACAAGTAGACGTACAGTCACAGTACATTTTGAAGAACGGGGTACTGTGGTATTGTGCTAGAGACTAGAGTAAGTACTAAGTAGTCATTTTCCAGAACAGAACAACACTTTCTTTAAAAATTGTTAATAATTTAATCTGTTACTTCTAACATCTGTACTACGTATAACAAATTTACGTTTTCTGAGTTTAAACTCAGGATGATCCAAAACCATTCATTTTACACGCATTTTTTCAAAATATCGACGCTTAACTGCAACCGGCCAGGTCGGCACCAGCGGGCCTAATGCTACTGTATGTTCAACTGTTCAAGCTACTCTAGGTTGCGTCCAAAGTTAAGTAGTACCAATTTTACAATTCAGATCTGAATTGTAAAATTGGTACTACTTAACTGTAAAATTGGTACTACTTAACTGAATTGTAAAATTGGTACTACTTAACTGTAAAATTGGTACTACATACTTAACTGAATTGTAAAATTGGTACTAGAAATTACCCGGAAAAACAATAAGTAACAGTCAACAATCATTGTTCTAAAAAATTGCAACCGGCACAATGTATATAGACTATATACAGTATACGTATAGAAGGTTCTACCGTTTCAAAGAAAATGCGTCTATATACTTTTTAGGACCGGAAAGGTTACAGAGAAGACGAAAATCAGAAGTTTAGAACCGCTGAAACTCTGGCTATAACAGCGCGTTACGTAACCCAACATTTTTTGTTACTTACTACAACTATGATTGCGGATCCAAATTAAAATGACCTGAAATTCTGGAGAAACCAAAACGCCACTGATCGACCGGTTACCAAAGTTTAGTTTTCCATGGAAAAAAGCAACATTTAGTCCGTTCAGCCCATATACAATATACCCATTTAGTCCGTTCAGCCCATTTGTTTACCTTTGCCAGTGCTCTGGGATCAGGGCTGAACGGAAGGTCATGATTAGTAAAATTAATGTTAATTAGAATCATTTTATTTATGTACTCGCGCACTAAAACTAATAATATTATTACAATTTTGACCGAAGGAAACAACTGAGCAGTGCAGCTATCGACTGAACGGAATCGCTCTATCTGTAGAAGAATAATTTACAGTAATTACACACCTTACCAGTTAGTTCTACCGTTGACTCCTCTGTTCAGCTGGACTATGGTTTTTTGTGAAAAACAAGGAACAGTTAACAGTTTACAGTTTTTTTTTGAACCAAGAGGCTTCCGGTTTAGTGTCTCCACGCTCACAGGACAAAACAGATCGATAGTCCTGGACCTCTGTGTCCTGGCTACTCCCGAGTCCTGGGTGAGGTTGCCGGCCTGCGGGCGGTTTTGTCAAGCCAGAGAGCTATATAAGTACTTACATAGATGATAGAAGACGGGAGTTTTATTGGGTTAATAACTTAATACTAAAATTAACATTGGTTAACACAAGATCACGCGATGACAGATGTACAGAAGTACTTCTGCACTAAGGCCTCGTCCCGAATTCAAAGCGAATCTCGTTGCGATACAGCAACTCCACCTCGCGAGGTGGCTTCGCGTACCGTATCTGTAGGCGTGGCCACTGCATACAGCCACCTCGTGCGGTTGAGCAACCGTACCATAAATCTGCAGTCGTTTAAATTCGTAAAAAGTTAAAATATAAAGACTTTCGTGGCCGCCCGCGCGATGCGGTGGTTCACTGAATGTAGCCGTCCGCAAGTAACTGTCAGCCGCATCCGTCTTCCGACCCATTCGATTTGTACCGTAAGGTCCGTAACATCAAGCCTGTGGATTCTATGAAACCTGCGCAGTACGGATCTAACGGAAACGGGAAAAGCCAGCGAAAGTGAAAACTAAGCAATGATTTGTTCTCCAATAAACTGATTCAAGTATTCCGAAATACATATTTTAGAACTTTGCGAAGCAAAATCCTAGTGTCATTAGACTGCCGGTATCCGTCTCGCAGCTACCCGTAGCTGTTACGTAAAACGAGAAGCGCACGTCCTTACCGGGAATTCTTTGATTCCGACAAATGAATGACTGTGACTCATCAAGTTGAGCATGCGCGATGCGGAAATGCTGCTACTCTGTAGTCTGATCAGTAAACTGCTGCGCTGCTGCTCTGATGTAGCACCAGACTACCCCTTTAAATAACGGCCAAGCTTATAAAAAATCTGTCATTTGACATTATTCAACAAATTCTCGAGAGTTCTGCATGTTGATATCGGCACTAATAAGTGAAAACGAATCACATTCGACGTCCCGTTACACTCTGGCTGAGGTTTCTGTCTGGGGATTTGAGGATCCTGTGGATCTGCTTCGTTACAGTTTGATAAAATGGCACTGAAACGCATCAACAAGGTTAGAGAGCAGTTCTTGGCTCAAACAAGATGTTGTGACTGTTGTCCTCTCGGAAGAGTATTACTGAGGTTTTTAAATGGTTAAAGAATCAACTTGGCCATTTTCGTAGCTTGAGGACGATTATAATGAGTTGTGTTGTAACTGCAGGAACTCCAAGATCTGGGACGTGATCCTCCTGCGCAGTGCTCCGCAGGCCCTGTTGGAGACGATCGTACGTATAATTTCAATGGAATTGCCAGTTTTAAGATTGATTGGCTAAACGTACGATGAATTGAGTTTCTTCTTAACAGTTTTCCATTGGCAAGCAACGATTATGGGACCAGTAAGTTCGTACATAATCGGGTTCGTTGAGGTGATATAAAGTAGCGCTTGTGGCATTACAGGCGGATAGCCCATATGAAGGTGGAGTGTTCTTTTTGGACATTGTCTTTCCCACGGATTATCCATTCAAGCCTCCAAAAGTTAGTATTGTTTTACTTCATTAGATTGTGTAGTAGTGCAGCGTACAACATCCGAACAGGCGCTTTGATAACATGAGGGTATTCGAGTTCATTACCTGGCTCGTCGTATGTTTTTCCGTGTTAAAGTTTTTGTTGTAACTTGCTAGATATGCAGAAATACATTTAATTCTTCCCCAGACCTTTGGGTGGTGACTAGTCTGTACTCTGTAGGTGCCAGGTTCGTGCGGAAAAGCTGCATATCTGCTTATAGCTAATTATCGTGTTAGAATTTGTAATTGATTTTTATTGTAATTATCCTTGTTGTTGTCTTTCGATACAGCAGTGGAACCGATGGGAAGCTTTTTAGTACGATTACTTACCTTGTATTGGTAGTCAGTTTACGAAATGGTTTATGCAATGCAAAACTGCGATAAACGCATCTTGTCAGGTGGCACATATTACTGACTATAAGAGTTTTTGAAATTGATAGCATAATAGTGGTTGAATTTTGAAATAATATGCAGTACTTTCTAGTGCGCTTTGATTATCTAGTGCCCGTGGTGACTGCCGATGTACTCGTACCGAATTTCAAGCAATTCGTCGCGATTCATTTGTGATCGCATAAAATGACAACCTGCATTTGCGTGAATTTTTTTTGTGCTTTGATTAATCGAAGACTGATTTGTAGGTGAGTTTTCAGACAAAGATCTACCATCCAAATATTAATAGTAATGGGAGCATTTGTCTGGATATTTTGCGATCGCAGTGGTCACCTGCTTTGACGATTTCCAAAGGTGAGTTTTTAATTAGGTGATTGCGCGAAACCAAGCATCCCAGTAGTTCATGGATTGCGGGTATTCCGTTTCCTTAGTACCCTTCTCAGTAACCTAATCCTACTAGTACTAACCTTTGCGCGCCTTTTTCTTGGTGCAGTGCTGCTGAGCATCTGCAGTTTGCTGACGGATCCGAATCCTGACGATCCCCTTGTTCCTGAAATTGCTCGCGCTTATAAAACTGATCGGGAAAAATATAACCAAATGGCGAGAGAATGGACTAGCAAGTATGCCATGTGAGGCTGGTCGAAAGCGTTTTCATAAATCTGCACTGGAATTCTGGATTGGAAGATTTTCACGCGGTAGAAGTCCTGTATGTTTTAATTAGTCGTAATTTAACAATTGTTCATTGCTGGATTATCGTTTTTCTTTCTCTTGAGACATCTTGCTTTTGCTATTATGGTTCTGAATAGGTTTACTGTACTTCAGTTGTCACCACTGTAGCTATCAGTTTTTTGGCATTAATTCTCGGTTGTATTTTAACGGCATTAGCGTTTTGCAGTGCAGTTACGACGATACGTTGATAAGGCAGTGTTCATTTGTAAACGTGGAGGAACCATCGTCGTACTGGTAACTGTTATCAACGTTGCTGTGATACGTACATTGAGAACCATCAACTTTTTTGAAGCAGAATTTCCGCAGTACTTGCTATGTCGTGTCAGTAGCAAATTTTTTTTAACTACGAAATGGTTATGAATCACTAAAGGCTAAAACTGTAATAGTCGGTCGGTTTGTTGAAGCACTTCATTAAATAAGACATGTGCGAAATTGAAACCTTCCACGGCTTCCAGTACTGATGACTGGAAAACCACTGAACAGCCATGCCGATATACCATTCTTTCGGAACCGATGTTTTTGAAAAATTTGCCGACTAGCAGCAAGTTACAAAAAACTTGGAACAAACAGAAGTTACGAAAAGCAGGCCGCTTGCATTTGTACTATTACGTCCCCCGTGCTTGACATCTCGTGCCATAGGACGGTATTATGCTTTATCTGACATCTAAAACAACCATAAACTGATTCATGCTTATGAGTTACAGCACCAACAGACCAAATAAAAATACGCTGGTAACACAGTCTGAAATTCAAAACCATAGGCAAACGCCGAACATAAGTACCGTACTTGTATAATAATTATTTAGCGATAACAGATACCTGTATTCTAATTTAATATGACGATGCACATTCATAGATTATTGTCATACACACACAATGAATATTAGCAACATCAGCCCAGGTTTTCGCCATTTGAATTCAAACTTTCGAAGTGCTCCTTCAAAGCTCTGCGAGTGGCCGTTAGTAGTTTCACCAGTGGATACTTCTGTTTACTACCGTTTAATTCTTGACCAACTGGCAGATTCTCCTTGAGAGATGCTGGCCATACCCGGCGAACTGCAACCAAATAATGTTAAAATTATCCCTTGGTTGTAAATTAACTTATCAGCGTACTGGATTCCTTTTTGAAAAATTTCACAGCGTGACAGCACAGATAATGACCCTGAAAACTAAGTGAAAACTAAGTGAATAGGGTTGTTGTGAGTACAGTTACACCTTTCGCCCAAAGAGCGGTTACATTTTGATTGCGGTACATAACAGTAAACATGGGATGGTCAAACTTGCCTGTCCCTTTTTGAAGATCCATTTCCGTCCCTCCTTCCGAAACCGCGCCGTCCCCCAATTTAGCAAACGTCACTTCAGCGCAGCTGTTTCCTTCAAAAGCAGATGGATGGATCATGGTCGGAATGCACAGACTGGCAATAAAATTCCATACCTGTTGTTATTTTTACGCTGAATCCCATAAAATCAACAGCTGCTTTTAAGTAGGCTTCTTTTCTCGCGAGTTCCAACAAAAGAACCTTCCTTCTTTCTCTTTTCTCTACAACAAACGGAAAGTGTCACTAAAACCTGCTCGTAGCTTTTGCTGACAGCAAACTGCGGCTCTTTTGGCGGATCATTTACTAGAGTAGTAGCAAATAAAACAATCGACTGAAAACCGCGATTTCGGTGCTTAAATTACTCTCGTGGTAGTGCAGCACTTTACCTGCTAATTCGTTCTCCATGTTCGTCAAACGCTGTCTAATGATGTTGATCTTTTCCTGCACATCCCGCCCGTACCTGGATAATTTTGTATCAAAATCATCGATAGCCTTCTGGTATGCCTGGACATTGTCGGCAGTAAGAGATGCACCTAAACACGAAGAAAAAGAAATGTTCCACAGTGCAGTAATAAAACTGCCGGGTAAACCGTAAGACACAAAATGCGTATCTGCCCGAATTCGAGATTCTAATTTTCAACTGCTCCAGTTATTAAACCCAACAAATCAATTACCAATTAACCAATTTTTAGTACTCGTACAGGCGGTTCTGGCTTATCGGAATTACCTGTGGATTCATCGGTGTCCACAGCATCTTTCAACTGGGAGATGTTCGAGAGAATGTGAAGCATATACTCTGAAAGAGATTCAGATATTGTTACTTCGTTTTATTTGTTATAAAATACAATTGTACGCTTCAGCCAAGGCTAGGGTTGAAATTCACGAGGCTTAGACCCATTTGTGAAAAGAAGTGAAATGAAAGCGAAATGAAGTGAAATGAAATGAAACGTGCAATAAAAAATTTTATTTAAACTGATAATTTTGGCTTTTATTAGGGCTGTAAACAGCCGAAAGGGCCGAAAGCAGCCTTTTATTAGGGCCGAAAGCAGTTAAAGCATTGATTTATAGAACTGCACACTACTAGTAAAAGTTCGAAATTTCGAAAACTTTAATTGTAACTAGATTATTAATTTTAGGGTACCCTTACAGGCACCCCCTAAAACCCCCGTTTATTATAGGCACCCCTTTTCACACCCCGTTTATTATAGGCACCCTTTTTAACTTAATATAACAGATTCAGTATTCTCAATAAGTAATGCAGCTTTATTCGGATAATAGTACAATAATTTTTCTGGCGTCGAGTTAAGTACATCAGGCTTTCCAGCCTACAGTTACAATAGGACGATTAGGCAAATCAGCCAGCCTAGAACGAATTAGTAGCGCGTCTTCAACTGTGACCAGAAGGTCACCTTTCACGATGATCAGCTCATTCACTGGCTTCGGATGGTGTTTGTGCGACAGCACAAAATGGTTTGAGATATACAGGGCCTGAATGATTCCATTCCTGCCGCTAGATTATTCTGTATGCGCTTTACTTCCTGCCCGACACTGCCCGTCGGGATTGCAGATGGCAGGTCACCTGGATATTCGAGCGTTCTAGATTTCCTTTCTGACATAGATATATATGAGAAGATGCCGATGACCCTGTCATAATGCATCCGCCCAACCGATAGGACATCAGTCAGGTCGCTGTCGTAAGGTTTATCAGGACTCCTATGCCGTTTTCACCAGGGCCCACAGTTCTGAGATGTACTTGCTTCGTCGCAGTCTGCAATGCTGGTACCGGGAAGTGCAGTGCGCGGTGATTTCACCTGCCTGATGCCTGGCGCGAGCCGCGCACTGGTTTCGTCGCCTAGGAGGAATGGCCGAGCTCCAACGCCCTTCTTTTCGTATTCTCTGTGGTGCACGTACATATTCGTAAAATCTTTCTGCACTTAAGGACGGCTCAGAGCTTCACCGTTCTTGAACTTTTCAGACCGTCGTATTATGAATGTTTGGAAAGGTTTGGGAAGTCGCTTCCCGGTATGCCTTAGTCTTTCTAGAATTCTTCAAAAGAAATTCGTACTTCAGGTCAGCGACCGCCGACATTCAGTGATGGGAATACTAAATCAGTGATGGGAATGCGACATTCAGTGATGGGAATACTAAATTGATCATGGCTTCCGATGGCCCCGGCGCAAGAGAGCTGCTTGAACCGGCCATAATGTGATATAATTTTTACGGTCAAAGCAACTGTACAGAACAATAATGACAAATTTTTGGAATATGTAGATAACATTCCGTTTACATAATATTATTTGCCGTATTAATTCAAAATGGGTGCCTATAATAAACAGGGTGCGAAAGGGGTGCCTATAATAAACGGGGGTTTTAGGGGGAGCCTATAACGGTTTCCTTAATTTTATTATTCAGTAAAGACTATACGGTATGCACAAAATGATTTTGCAGTTTACTTTTACTTTTTAGTACAAAATAAGTTGAAACTATTTAAGACTAAAATTAGGAGCTGAAGTTTGACCAGGATAATTGATACCGAAGAACAAGGCATAAAAAGGAAATGCTCATTTCTATACAACAAACAGCGCAGTAGCGCACTGCACGGAATTATTTTTGAATTACACGTATTGTACTAGCAGTAGCGCCTTTTGACTGTGTCCTGGTAAAGTTGTCACGTCCAACTGTAAGACTGCGAAGTGCAAGTATCTGCAGCCCAGAAATTCTGTTATTTTGCATTTCATCTTAAGTACACTGTAAACGCCTCTGAAACATTATTAGTATTTGTTTTTTATCCGCAGTACGAGATCCGAGTTTGACAAACCGAATTCTTAGTATTACTGGTCAGAACAGTAGAACTAAATCTTAGTGCGTTTTGGCTAAGTATGTTTTTAAGATTTCGAAATTCTGCAATTACCTGCACTTAATTAAGGGAAGTGGCCCGGTACATGGTACGAAAGTCGGGAACATGCACGAAATCTTTCACTTTCGCGCACTCCCAAACCCGTTTTTCTCTTGTCTTATGACATTCTGTAGCCAGATGATTTGTATACACTGGCGTGAAAACCGTTTGCGCGCGCAACATCCGGTTCGGGAGTTATGGCCGTTAGAAAATTCCAAAAAGTTTGAATGCATTCAGGTGTACCAAAAGTCTCATTATGGACCGATCTCCCTCAAATTTTGAACGTAAATGCACATAACCACGAAGAACGTTTTCACATCAATCCACTGTTCTAGCAAGTTTTTCAAATTTTAAAATAGAATTTCAAAAATTTTAAAATTCATTTTAAAATTTGACAGAAATCATGGAAGTCTGATCGGTGTAAAAACGATGTTCGTGGCCATGTGCATTTACGTGCAAAATGTGAAGGAGATCGGTCCATAATAAGACTTTGGTACACCTGAATGCATTTAAACTTTTTGGTATTTTCTAACAGCCATATCTCCCGAACCGGATGTTGCGCGCACAAACGGTTTTCACGCCAGTGTATACAAATCATCTGGCTACAGAATGTGATAAACCAAAACAAAAATGTGTTTGGGAGTGCGCGAAAGTGAAGGTTTTCGCGCATGTACGTACACGAATTTGTTGCCATGTACCGGGCCACTTCCCTTAAAGCGTATGAAAAACGTTATCTTCTCTTCCAGTTACTACAATAATGTCTGTTGCCTAATGCAGGGGTTCGAGTTAGAAGCGGTTACACAAAAAAATACAGGGGAGTGAATAACTTCTGTTGCAAAAAATATTGTGAATCGCTGTAATTTCGTAATTTCAAGCGATTTCCCGATTTCACCATTTCACATTTCATTTCACATTTCACGCGGGGGTCCGCGTGAATACGAAATGAAAGTGAAATGAAAAGTGAAATCGTGATTTCAACTCTAGCCAAGGCCACACGCGATTGTTGCAGCGTCACGACCGTGCAACTACAGCAAATACTGCTTCTGTTCTAACACCGAAGTTTCTTACTTTCAGAACGGGCATTCATCTTTTCCGCTACTAATAAACAGTTGTTGTAGTTCTGAGAAGCTTCATGCAGTCCGTCGTATAGGGAAGAGCTTCTGGACTCCGCACTTGCATTCCATCCCTGAAAGAGTTCGTCAATCTGCTCCTGCAGAGCGTGGTACTCCTCGTCAAGTTCTTCATCACCCAGCTCAACCGAACTGTCCCCTTCTTCCATTCTCCGGATGGACCAAAACCAATTCTGTTCAAGTACTTTAATGCACTTAGATACAGAATATTCCGTAACAATATGAAAGAAAACTCCAAGCACCAGTTGGTCAAATTCACAGCTTCTAGAAAATCAGAACGCTGAAGCTAAGTAAAGCATCCACTTCTTAGCAGCCTAGCCGAGCAGTTTACAATAAATTCTAATAGATAAAAAAACTTCGCTTTGAAAACCAGCTCTGTAGGTAACAAAAGAAGACATCAAAAATAAAATACAACTGTTATTGACATTCACCTCTTTGGACTCTACTTAAGTTTTAAAACAACCGCAAATATTGAGAAAACTGAAAATGCTGTTTTTTGCCTGTCTAACTCTAGTCACTAGTGACTAGTGTCTCTACTTCTAGACTGCATGTACCGTCGTTATGCGTTGGATTTTATCCTAACCGCCCGTTTACCACTGTAAGTAACTGCCACACAGGTGGGTATGGCGTACGGAAGAGCAGAAACCAGGCTCGTGGGAAGCCTTTCAGTATTTCAGCGCGCTGATTTCAATCTGCACTCTGCAGACCGTCCTCTATAGAAGAGACTGCCAGATAGAAAGCATTCCACGATTATTCTGGATTTTTGTTGTTTTGCTGGTGGAAACATCTCACGGATCAGTTCGGATGGGATTGTAAGCGTGTGGGAGTAAGCGTCAACGGTGAGTCTAGTTTTCTTTTATGGGCATTTTTACTTGTAATTAGTGATAATAAAACTCTTAATTTTGCTGGGAATTAAACATTATGATTAATTCAATTAAAATTATAAATTTTGATTATGCTGAGCATAATTAAAATTGCAGTTTAATTGAAGTAAGCATAATTAAAATTCGTCAATTTTAATTATACTTAAGCTTAATTCTGAGTCAAATTATGAACAATATAAATAGCCTGATCAAAGAAAACTGAATTTTAATTATGATAAGCAAAATTAAAATTGGACAATTTTAATTATGCTCCAGTTTAATTAAAATTGTTGAATTTTGATTATGCTAATCATAATTAAAATTGATCAATTTCCAATTATGATAAGCTTAATCAAAATTATAAGCAAAATAATTATGATGAGTTTAATATTCACTACTTGTAATGAGCTTTTTAATTTTAAACGAGTGTGAGTGGTGAACATCGGAAGTGTACAACTGATAGAAAAATACTAGAGTATAATCTTTTTATAAACATTTTTCTTTAAAATGTGTCCTACTCTTCCCTTTTTACTTTGATTGTTTGCTAAATATTAGGATGTGTTTATTTACAGCCAGCGAAGGTTATGATACTGGTAGTGAATATTAAACTCATCATAATTATTTTGCTTATAATTTTGATTAAGCTTATCATAATTGAAAATTGATTAATTTTAATTATGATCAGCATAATCAAAATTCAACAATTTTAATTAAGCTGGAGCACAATTAAAATTGCTCAATTTTAATTTTGCTTATCATAATTAAAATTCAGTTTTTGTTTGATCAAGCTATTTATATTATTCCTGATTTGACTCATAATTAAGCTTAAGCATAATTAAAATTGACCAATTTTAATTATGCTCAAGCTTAATTCAAATTGCGCAATTTTAATTATGCTCAGCATAATCAAAATTGTCATAATTTTAATTGAATTAATCATAATGTTTAATTCCCAGCATAATTAAGAGTTTAATTATCACTAGATACTGGTCACCATGCAATCACAAATGTGGAGGAGGTGGCCGCATTCGCTATGGAACTTGGAATGTCCCTACACAACAGCGTTATGATGAAATTTGTAATTCTGATCCTTACAAAGAAAAGGCATTTACTACGGACGCTTGTGACGGTACGACTTGACACTTTCTTACGATAGGATACTGGATTACTGACGATAGCTGACGCTCGTTCTTTCAAATCACGGCCACTTGCAGATCAAGAAGTTGAAGCGCGATTATCCTCTTGAAATCCTTGGAGCTCATGTTCGCATACTTGCGGCGTCGAAACAAGAATACGTTATAAGTACTCTGTGTGTCCATCTGGAAAGGATTCTGATGCCTGTCAAGGTCACGACTTCGAAATGGAACGATGTCGAAAACGTTCTTCTTGTCGTTTCAAGTAGGTGTGCAATTAGCATGATTTTGTTTTCGCTGTACCTGTTTAGTGTTTTCGTCGTGCAGTACATGTCGAGTTCAGACATTTTATGTTAATTTTCCGTGGAATATGCTCTAAATTCTATATTGAAATAATCCCGTGAAATTTTTAGAGAAAGCACTGGCCTGGGATCACTGGTCAAGCTGGTCTCCATGTTCTTCCTTATGCGGAGGTGATTCAACTATGCGCATTCGAAAATGATTATCGAGCGGTATCGGTCAACATTTAATATGCGGGACACCGTGTGATATTCAGTTGTGCAACACTCATCCTTGTGACCGTAAGGACAACAACTCGTGTGTACACCTAATGGTAAGGACAAATTTGTCATACTGAGTATATTATTGAACAGATTACCGTCAAAATTATGCAGCATGGAGTAGCTTGTTATTGCCCAATCCTTGCTCCAGCCGTGTTCTGAATATGGTTATTTCGCTAACACGTTCCGTATATTCAGTTGTGGTTCGACGCATGTCGAAGATTGCCCGAGAATTGAAATACAGCAGGTCGAATGCGATTACCGAAGCTGTTATAAAGGTAAGATTGATCACATCCCGTTTCCACATTTTCATTTATATTGTTGTACGCGTTTTATTTGTAAATTCATAGATATAAACAATTTCATTTATCCTCCGTGGAGTGAATGGTCGTCGTGCTCGAAACCGTGTGGACAGGATATGGGTATCGCAATCGGACGCTTGCAGATAACCTTCCAGTAATGAATGGAGAATTCTGTACCAAACCGGCTTTTGAAGTAGCCCAGTGCAATCGTAAAAAATGCGGTACGTCTTCGAATCATCTCGAAAGTTGCCCACGTCAGTGGCACTGCCTTTTTTTCTTCATCGATATTACTCACAAGTCACATGTTTGCATCCTTGCAGGTTTACGAGAAAAGACTGAATTTGCTGGAGACTGGAGTTCATGGTCGTCTTGCTCTCGTTCGTGAATGCGACGCCGCCAGTGTATGATTGTTAGCGTACAGAGTACCTGACTAACGGATTCTGTTGTAATCCCACCTCCTCGCCCACAACCTAGAAGTGCTTGTCTGGATGGATCGTCTGATTTGTGATTTCCTGAAGCATTGAACTGGTTGGTTGCGCTGTCAGCTTACGCCCGGGTGTTTATTTTAAATATTTTGCCTATCACGTTATCGTTATCAGGCAGGCAGGCAAATGAGTTTACATTGTTTAGGCGAACTGCAGCGCTTCGATGCCCAGTACGACAAAGACAAACTACAATTACGCCAACGAAGCATCCACTCCGGCGATATCCCGCTGCAGCTGATCTTGTAGAATATAACAGTACGGCGTATCGCGATAAAGGAGCAATCAGAATAAAAATGGATCATTAATTTTGGAGCAAGATGACCATGACGAACATTATCTGAATTCCGAAGTACCATAGCTGCCACAACAATATCCCCCACGCAATATGTGTCATCAAATTCGACCAGTTACCGGCAGACTGTTGCCCAGTACCGGCGCCTGTCAATACTTACTCGCCCACTTATCAAGGATGGAACACCAATGTGAATAATTGTATCCAAACCGATCCATAATTCCACCTTTCCCGGCGTATCAAGGTTACGACTTCGTCAACGCAACCGGTTATCTTCTGCGTTTATCCTCAAGTAAACCCAGGAGTGCAGACATCGGTGTACTACCTGCCTTTGCCCGGCGATTTCCGTGTACTGCGTCCGCCCGAGTATGGACCACGAAATGTGTCTGCCCGTATGTGCAACCTGGACAGCTGATGCAGGGATGGGGTTCAGTGCTTCCTGCATGGAGCGAAGCCGTATAATGTTCCCGACTACAATTTTTTAAACTTTTGCTGGATGTATGATTGTTTTGGTAGGAGGAATTGTTGTAGCTCAAACTACGAGCTATGTTGAATACAAGTCTGAGAAACTGTACCCTGCACCGACAATATATAAAGGAGGGGGACCGGCTGTCGTACCCAACACTGTCGCTGTTTGAGGATTAGGGGCCGAATCTAAGCCTTAAGTTTGGGATACTCATGGCAGGGATTTTTGTTTTGTTCTGATTGTGATTTTTGCTGTATTAGTGATCATTTATTTTTAGACGTATTTTTAGTACAAACGTGTCTGATCCCCTTTTGGACTGTGTGTAGGATTTTAGGGTGAACCGTTTTATTTCCGGTGTCTTTGCAAACCTGGTGTTCATGTGTTGTATACTTGTATTGGCTTCTGCCTTCTATAGAAGTAAACCTTTTTCAAAGGTACTACCGCAACGCGGTAAAGGTTTTGTCGGTTATTTTCCCTTCTTAGCGACACATACTGTACTTTAAAAGCGCGTGTAAATTTCGTTATTATAGTACGAATGCCGTATAATTGTTGCAGTTAACCACTCTGATTCTGTGTTCTTCTCGCTTGAGCAAGAACCTAAGAATTTAAACAAATCAGCCAAACACGGATCACGCTACAACACATCCACAATACCCAGCAATAACTCCAATTCTTCCCGATTCCAAGGCGAACATCCAAAAATAAAAAAAAGCAGTCACAGGAAAGCAATTCCAAAATTTCGGCCGAAGACTTCCGACGGAACCACGGTAGCGCGATTCTCCACAACATATCCTCCAGACAAATTGTTAGTAGACGATACTTTGGCCATTCCAAGATTCTTACTGATGGAAGCTTTTCATTCAATAGCTCCAGCCATCAGCCATTCTGATAATTCATCCGTAACTCTGCAAATTATGGACGGCATCTCATAACCAGCCGCTTATGCGATGCCGAATATATATGCCAGCATTCCGTAGCTCTGTCGATCGATGTAGTTAGTACTGTCGACTGAAAAAGGGTAACTGTGACTGTGATCAGTAAGACTTGGATTTTTACGAACACCAGAATATGACAGATAGTTCATGCGCTTTCTATTACCCTATTATCAGGTTAGTTTAAACTTTAGAGAGTGTCTGCTATTTGTTTCACTTAGCAGTGTTAGCACACTTGACCATCACGCGTGCGGTATTAACTGGCCAGTTACACTGCAACCACGGCAGTACCACTCCATGGCCAACTGGTACCGGTAATTTCAGCCCCTGAAGCAGTTTGCTGGACGGTCTCATTGACAGTGACCTTTAAGTGCTATCCCAGTGTTTTGAGTTTTCTGGAATTATTCAGGAATCTAGAGTATTCGCTTGCAGTTGAGTGAACTCTTTTGGTTGCTACCGTGCATTGCCGCTGTACGCAAAACAAAAAATTCATTATGGCTGCACGCACGGTTGGCATTTTCTGCGCACGGGCACTGACTGCGTGCACGGATTTTTACATTCACATTTGAATATGTATTTACTGAGTATTTTTAAATTCGATTTTTACACTTTCATAAGCTTTTCACACTTTATTCGATAATGATTATTTTCAGCCTCTTTTGAGACATGTTTTTTGGTATGCCAGTGATGCCACGATCGAGTATAGTCAGAGTCAGAGAAATAGGCTTTTGTTGACCCTGCCGGAGAGGGAACGGTGTGACGTTCATGGTGACGGAATATAGCAGTACAGTACGTAAAGTGACGGCTTGACTCGTACTTTCTATTATTCGCTGACTTTGTCGATCTTTCTCTTTTGTGTTCGGATTTACTTTTGGTTGTTTCTACACGGATGCGCCGTGTCTATATAAGTCCGTGAGTGGCAGTACTTTGAGGATCAGTTCTCTCATTATGAGTTTGGCAGTGATCGGAGTTTCTAATTAAAATATCGTCGGAGATGCAGTCTCGCTTCGCGTAGATTCGTAGACTTAGCTATGCCACATTGAGATATTAGCTCATTCTCTGTCGTTGAGTTAGGTCGGTAGGATAGATTATTTACGGTAATTATTCCTATCGTACTGATCTCTCCGTCATGGCGCCCACCGATGTTCGAACCTAACCGATGGCTAGCTAAGTAAACCTGTGATTGAAATTGCAATTGTGAATGTTGGCCTTTAGATTGTGCTCAGTCCGGGTACATTTGTACTGACTGGACGGATGTCCGGGCAGCTGGTCTGCCGTCTGGACGCCTAAACTTCAGTAGTCCGGGTACTGGCGACGCGTTGGCAAGGGGAAACCCAGCTGATTCGTGCCTGCGACCCACGACGAAAACCTGTAAATGTCCGGGGGCTTTGCCCTGTCTGGACGCTGAGCAGTTTGTCCTGCCAGCAGGGCGATGCAGGGATAACCTGTAAATCGACCCATGAGCACAGAAGTGAAAATGAAATGAAGCCTGAACGTGAAATGAATATGAATTGATGAAATGACGAATATGAAATACGAAAAGTTGATTGTGAATTGAAGCTGAAGTAGGTACTCGTAGCTACTGGCCAGGGCACGAGTTTCCTAGAAATCTTGAGCGTAGCGGTTACGTAACCGACTGTGAGTAGACAAAGTGTCGAAAGCGGTTTTCTTGAGCTTAAGTTTCGTATGTCAGAGCAGTGCCTGAACATACAGAGTATCGATACAAATCTTGAGCTTTAGTTTTGTATGCGAGAGCGAAAAGCGAGAGCATACAGGTGCACCAAAATCGTAGCGTAGCCATACAGCCAGAGCAATTGCGAGCGCTGTGAGCGGTAAGAGAACACCGACGATCAAAATCTCAATCTGCAGTATCCGGGTGAGAACAAACGAGTCAACCCGGTAGTCAGTGTAACGAACACTGAAAACAAAAGCGTAGCTTAAGTTTCTGCGTAGAGCAGAAGTCTACCGGATAAAAAATTACAGCCAGTGCAACAGACACTGGATAAAAGTCGTAGCTTAAGCATCCGGGTACAATTCCTCGGATAGCCAGTGCAATGGACACCGAAAATGTTAAAACAATGGAAGGCGTAGCGTCAACTGCATACGATAATGCAGCACAGCAAAATGAAAATGCCGTACAGTTCGGCGGCATTGCTGATAATGAAGAATTGTGGTACGATATGCACCCGTTGCAGTCTGAATTGATTGAATATTCGCTTGACCAGAATAGGTTTGAAGCAGAAATTGAAAATTGGGATGTAAAAATTGATAATGAAATGAATGTAGATGAACTGAGGGAGATTGCTTGGGCATCACTGTACGCTGCGCTTGCACTTCGGAGGAAGTACAGTAACGCGAATCGGCACGCGCTCAAGCTCGGACTTGGACTCGGACTTGACTATTAAAACTTGACTTGGATCACTTGATTCTAAACTGGACTTCATGACTTTGACTCGATCACTTTTGAATTGACTCGGACTTTACTTGGACTCTAAAACTTGGACTTTATGACGTAAACTTGGATTTAGGCGTTTCTTATGTTTCTTATGTCTTCTTACGTTTCTTCATGTTTTCTTAGGTTTCTTTGTGGCCTCATAGCTTTTAGTTCTTCTTTGTTTAGATTTAGGCATCTTAGGTTACTCAGAATACCAATGAATACCTGGATAACCTAAGAAAAACCAAAGAAAAACATAAGAACCTAAGAAACCTAAGAAACCTAAGAACACGTAAGAAGACATAAGAAACATAAGAAACGCCTAAATCCAAGCCTACGTCATAAAGTCCAAGTTTTAGAGTCCAAGTAAAGTCCGAGTCCAATTTTAAGTGAAGTCCAAGTCCAAGTCCAAGTGAAGTCCGAGTTTTAGAGTCCAAGTGAAGTCCAAGTCCAAGTTTTAGTAGCCCAAGTCCGAGTCCAAGTCCGAGCTTGAGCGCGGGCCACGCGAATCGCATTTGTCATGCGTTAAGCGGCCGCAATACAGATTTGGAAATTCAAAACAGTACGCTAAAAGCTGAATTGTCTAAACTGCGCAGTAAATCTGAAAGAAATGAAAATGAATGTAGCAATGAAAAAACAAGAGCTAATGAACTGATGAAATGTCAGTTAGCTCTAATGGCTAAAATGGAAGAAATGTAGGGAACGCCTAAAGCGTCTGATAAAATACAGTATGCACGTGTCTTCAATGAGGAAGACACGGTAAATTCGTATGTGGATGGTTTCTTGAATTGGTTTAATACATTAAATACAAAAGAAGAAGAACGAGTGTCTGTGCTGATTCAGGGACTAAAGAAAACCCGTATGGAATGGTATGGCAAGCTGATCATCTCAAAACCAAAAACTGTTGAAGATGTTATGGCACAGTTGAAAACGCTGTACACTTTGAAGTGTCAAAGAGAAATGTACGATAATGCTGGTTCAGATGAAAATGATGATTGTGAAAATACGTACGATGAGTACTTGTATGAAACTGAAAGTTTGAATGATGACGAATGTGAAATTACGAAGAGTATGAAAACTGTGGAAGTTACAGTATCGACAAAAAAAAGCCGTACATAATTGGAAATGTTGAAATTAATGTACATAAATGGCGAACTGATAGCGGTCAGCCGATCTGCTTTAAATGTCACGAGCTGCACCCAGCAAAGTACTGTACATTTGAAGGCAAATGGAAAGCTGTTACGAAAGAACCGCCGCCTGAAGTATTGAAACGGTACAATATGAAACTGGTTGAAATGCGTTCACTGGAAATTCGTACTGTTCAGTGCGATTTGAAATCTACTGAAAATGAAGAAACTAAAACGCAGCAGCCGTCAAGTTTGCGGGGGCGAACAGTGCCCAATGAGCTACCGCCCGATGCGTCGCAAACGACTGTGTCCAGTCAAGTTTGCGGGGGTAAGCCCATTAATACTGGTAAAGCCTTATTGGCCGAAAATTTGGTTAATGAAGAGTTTTGGAAAGCCGAGCAGCGGAAGTACAAGGATACCAAACACTGGTATTACTTGTACAAAAATCCCGTAAAGGCGAAAAATAAATTTCAAAACGAAGAAATTTATCACATGATTGTGAGAAATGGATTGTGTCGTAAGCGCTCATTAAAGGGTAGAAGTATTGACAGAATTGTGGTGCCTAAACAATGGCAAGAAAAACTTGTGAAATCAGTACGTGAACGTTGTGTGAAAAATGAATTATTACCGCGCGGCGTGTCAGTGCAAACGTATCTGACAACCCGATATTATTGGTGTAACATGGTGAAAACAATTGAAAATGTTTTACTGAAATGCAAAAATGCTGAAGTGACTGAAAATACGTTTAAACGTGTGTTAGATTGTGCGGAAATGCGCCATGTTGAATGTGTAGCGGAAGTTTGCGGTAATTCGCAGAACAAAAAAGTTGAAATTTATAATGCTCAATCGCAGAGAGAAAGCCCGTACA